ACGTTTTAGTGCCTGTAAAAACATAAGTAAATGTATGGTTTTTTTGGGGGGGGGCGCACTTTAAATGTGGTCACCCAGGGCCTAGGGCACTACACTGTGTTAATCTGGGCCTGCTGAAGAGGACAGTTTTCCGTTGTTTATCGTGAACATAGTCTCTGAACTTTTGACCACCCCTTGTATGTTCAGACAGCAGGATTATTGTACCTTGTAGTTTACATTTAGAAAAGCGAGCGCAGCGCACCTGTGCATATAACAGACTGTCATCGGACTCCTCTTTAGTAACATCATCATCCGATCCTTTATCTCTGGATGTGAAATAGTCCATTATAACATCGTTAAGGGCACTGACATCAACAAGATTGAGCAAACTGAGACGAGCAAGATCGTTTAAGCGAGCAGCTATACTGCGTTGTTCTCTTGAGCTCTGCCATCTCACGATATAAAAAAATAAAAAAAACTTTGTGTGCCATAGTTTACACAGGACTGGCCTGGTGGGAAATGTGCATTGATGCACCTTTATTAGGCCTATATATGTTACATGGTTTTTTTAGATAGTTTAACTGTGTTTGTGGTGTTAAGAGAAAGCACCTCCGCAGCGTGTTCTTAGGTGAAAGGCCGTCTTTTCTGCTTGCTGCAATTAATCGCTATTTTTATGTACTAAACAAGTGAATTTTACCAAGATATTTTCAGAGATGATAGACAAGATGTTATAGAATAATAATTTAATGAAAACCTAATTTTGACAAAAAATTGGCATTCAACCTATTTTTCAAATTTCCTGAAAATGTCCCAGCGCGACATCCGACGGGTTTTCCCAGATCGCATCACAAATGTTAAAACACTTTTAAAGGGTTCCGCTGCAATGAGATGCAGAAGCAAACACAATTCACTACCGGCGCTATCAGATAAATATTGTTCTGTGCACACACTTGAAAAGCATGCACAGGAAGCTGGTCAGACAGTGTGTGCGTCTTCACATAAACAGTAATGAAGGTGAACAGCAAAGAAACAGTAATGAAATTTCTTCGATCCTTTAACAATGCATTGGTGCAAAAACGCACACCTTTTGGAACAATTTCGCAACATGATTTCTCGACTGCCACAAATACCGTCTAAACAAAATACTGATTTTGTGCACTTTTTACTGTACCAATATTTTAAATTGGCCTTTGAACTTAGCTTTATTGCATGGCAAAAAAATAAAAATCATGTTACCTTGCCAAAGCACTGACGGAACCCATTGATCTAATGGTGTTTTGAGCGCTCCAAATGCAAACTTTGCATGCAACAATCAGGAAGCAATTGACACTGCTCTGATCCAATGTGCATACAGGCATCGTCAGATTGACAGTACTCTAGCGAGTCTAGCTCAATGACGTTGGGGGATCCAGTAGGGGCGGCAATCATATTACAGGGTGGCCGTGCCACTCTTTATCACAACCCTGATAAATATAGTGCCAGTGTGTGCGCTCATTGGCGCCCCCTCCAGCTGGTGGCACCCTATGCGACCGCCTAGTTTGCCTATGCCTAGAAACTAGTGGTCGACCAATATGGGTTTTTTGACAGCCGATACCGATATCTTGGAAAGCAGGGGGGCCGATGGCCAACCATGATGAAATGCTCTTCTGTCACCTGCTGATCTTATTTTGTATTAGTTTATATCTGACTAAACTCTTTTATCAAATCATTGTCCTTTGATCATTTTCATAATAGAGTGCAACAGTGCATGTCCTCTTTTCAGTGGCCTTGGTTCCATAAGTATTTTGCCCATTCATTTTTCCCATTGGGATTATTAAAAAGACATTGTTAAAGAATTTTAAGCCATAAACCAAAGCCAACCAGCTCTAAGGTGAAACACAACATTACAAACTTTTATTTGAAACAAAAAAGTATTTAAAAACACACAAAAAGACAAGTGTGTTTTTAAAGTGCAGGACAAAGGTAAAAGAAAAAAAACTGTGTACAATGTCTTTAATGAAGGAATCAACTACAAACCTACAAAGCATTGCAAAAAAATAAAATAAAAACTGATTTTAAGTTGTTTATTCTGAGTATAAAAAAATGATGTGGTTTGAAGTCATTAAAAAATTGATATATACAAGTAGTTTACAAGTGTAGGGAGACGCATAATCGGTTACATCATTCATGGATATTTGTCTGCAGGGTCATGAGTTCTGTAGTTCTTCACCAGAAACTGCCTGTTAAGAATTGATTTTCAGAAATTAAGTTTAATTAATTTAGTTCATGGTTGATCTGTCTTTACTTCCGGGGCCCAACTGTTGCACAATAAAATGTATAACACTAACACATCTCTAACAGAATCTTGTTCACTCTTTAGATTTGCTGTACCACACGATAAAACAGCTGGATCATGGAACAAAAGAAAGAGATTATTCATACTGGATTTGTGTCTGCAAGCTGCGCTCCATCAGAAAGAGACAATAGAAGAAACTGTGAAGAAACTGCTGTCATCTGTGAACTATAAGAAATGTGATTTCCTGCTGGATCTGTGTTCACATGTGAAGGACTATGAGACTCAAACAGGCAGGAGTGTCCTTCCAGCATTACAGCCAATTTATCAGTCAGCTCCTGCAGTCTGGAGAATAAAGCTCTCAGAGAGAAAGAGCTCCATCCTCCTAGAAGTGCTGAAACTCCAAACAGAGAAGAAACCAGTCGAGCTGAGAGACTGGACAGATGAAGAGAGTGAAGTGAAGGGATTCCTGCAGTGTCTGCCCTACATCTCACAGCTGAGGTGAGACTCTTATAGGAAAAAGACCACCCATGCTTATTGTATCCAGTGCTCACAATAAATTTAATGTATTTAACTTAAATATTTTATTAAACAATATGTATGTGAACATGAACCAGAATTGAATTGCATATAATCACAAAAAACACTAAACTGACGTGTAGTTTTTTTCGACAGCAATATTGTCTGTTGTTGAAATCCTGCTGTCACCCTCATTCAGTCGTTTTTTCTGCTGTGAGAGGGATTGTGATCATATGTTTCTATTGTAGCAGCTTCATTCAGCACACAATTGTTTACATGTGCAGTTATGATGAAGCTACAGTGCATAGTCAAGCTGCAATCTTCGTTTCTCTGTCCAAAGTATATTTCACACAATACATGATCAAATGTTTGCAGTTTTAAATACATAGTATAGCACATTACCTCTTTCTTGCAGGACGTACAAGCAGAACAAAGAAAAACTATAATAGTATTATATAGGTCTGTTTATCGGACTGGTTCAATTTCATTCTGACATTTGCCTGACATTTAAAAAGATGAATAATAGTTTAGTCCGACTGAAATCAAACATGTAAAGTGCATGTAAATGTGGCTACTGATGTAATGTAATACACAGGACACAACAGCACCTGACTTTACTGGAGCTGTAGATTAAGTGTTCACTCTCGTGATAGTCAGCACACAAACACTGTAGAAACTGTCTGTCTGACACAGGTTTACATTCATATTAACTGATTCAGTCACTTAAATTATTTTGAAGGAAATGAGCAGTCAAAGAAATTAAGTAATTACATTATTTTATCAATTCAAATTTTATTTTTTTTAAATAAAATTTTATTAAGTGGCTGTTTAATTTTTAGAAACCGAAGAGATGTGAAAAAATCCCAGAAAAGTCAAATTTTTTAAATTTTTAATATATTAAAAACACACACACATTGGTATTCCTTTACAGTACATTAAAAAAAATCTATACTGTATCTCATTAAAAATGTCTTACTTTTTTTTTTTATTAAACTACCTACCCAATGCGCCAGATATAAATATTCATGCAGTTATTACTACTACTGTTGTTGTTGTTGATGATGATTATGTGGATATTAATTGTATAATATTATTACGTAATATTATTATTTCTTACATAAGCCAAAGACACTTGTATCTGGTAAAAGAGAATATTACATTTTAATTGGACAAGAGCTATACATACTGTTTAATGACAAAGAGTGTGCAGTGCACTACCAACACTACAAAACCTACATTGTAAAATAATAATAATAATAATAACGTAGTATCAACATAGCAAAAGAAACAAGTAAATTTAAAGCGGAATATTAATATTATATGGTAACAATATTGATAATATTACTCTTATTATATTGAAAAGTAATTATTATGTTGTAAACATTGTTTTACTTCTACACTGATCAGCTACAACATTAAAATCAGCTGCCTAAAATCATGTAGGCCTCCCTTGTGCTGCCAAAATAGCATGAATATGGACTCCAACAGACCTCTGAACATGTCCTGTGGTTTCTGGCGCCAGGATATTAGCTGCAGATCCTTTAATGCAGTTTGTGCACATTGTAAGCTTTCATCAGTGAGTCTTGGGTGTGAGTCCATGACCCTGACACCAGTTCACTGCTGGTCCTTCATTGCACCACTTTTGCACTAACCACTGCATTCCAGAAACACCCAAACACAAGACTTGCCGTTTTGGTGATGCTCTGACCCAGTTTTCTAGCTGTCACCATTTGTCCCTTGTCAGAGTCACTCAGATCTTTTCGCTAGCCCATTTTTTCTGATTCCAACACAAGAAACTTTAGAACCTGCTGTTCACTTGCTGCCTATCATATCCCCCCTTGACAGGTGCCATAGTAACAATAATCAGTGTTATTCACTTCAGCTGTCAGTGGTTTTAATGTTGTGACTGATCAGTGTACATTATGTGCTGCTATTACCTTATGAACTGTGATTGAATTATAAGTTGCAACAGTCTGTTCATAATGTAATACATGCATCATACAATAAACTATTACATTATGGGAAAAATTATTATTACATTGACAGTTTTTATCACATGACGCGTTCAAGATTTTATTACATTTGAGAAAATTATTTGTTTTATTACATTAATAATGCAATACTTTTACGTTACGTGCCATTATTATGTTATACTTTATCACGTTATGAGTTGCTACAGACTGTTTTATTATTTGTCTCCACTCTTCACACCCTTTACATTCTTACACTCTTCACTTTTCCACAGTTTTACACTCATTTCTTGAGGGTTTTTTTAAATCTGAAGTGATTCATGACACTTTAATGGAGCTGTAGATAGTTTACTCTCATGATAGTCAGCACACAAACACAGTGTAGAAACGGTCTGTTAGAGATTTAGCTTCATATCACCTGATTCAATGATTTTACTTTTAAAAGAGTGTCTTTAAAAAAAAACTCAACTAATTAAATTTTTTTTTTTTCTTTCTTTAAGAGTCAGGCTACTTTTTGTGAGACGTTCTGTGTTTGTTTCTCTGTGGTTATTGTTTGTTCTGTGAACAGTGTGATTGTGTTCGTCTGTTTTCAGCACACACTGATGTGATGTAACACACAGGACACAACAGCACTTGACTTTAATAGAGCTGTAGATTGTTTATGGTCATGATAGTCAGAACACAAACACACTGTAGAAACTCTCTGTATGACAGTTTTACCTTAATATTAACTAATTCAATGGCTTAAATCATTTTGAAAGAATGTCTCAAAGAAATGATTTCGATTATTTGTTAATTTTCTTTCATATTTTAAGTTTCAGTTTATTTTTTGGAAAACAAAAACATAAAAAAGGAATTTACTGTATAACATCAAATGTCACGGAATTTGGCAAATCTTGGATGAATAAATCAAAAGCAGCACTATCCACTTAATGAAATCGCAATATTGACTAGTGTCTGTGAATATAAAAACACAAAAAGACTGCTATTTAAATATAAAGTTTGCATGTTCTGTACGTCTCTGAGTGAATGAATGTTGTGGTTCCATCTGATACACACGATGACGCTACTGTCGTCTCACTATGACATGAACACATGAACTTCATCTTTAGAGCTGCTCTGAGCATCACTTCACAAGCATTTCACTTGAGAAAACTATCGTCATCTTTTATACACAGACACTCAAAGGTCTTCAAAACAACCTGTCAAAATAAAAGGCCAGTTTAAAGGTGCAGTAAGAGATTTCTGAGAAACGCTGCTGAAAGTGGATCGCATTGAGCACCAAACACACTTCTAGCCTGTCACCAGTAAGAGGCATGTCCACTCATGATGGGGGAGGTGCCTGCTGCATAGTGTGTTTGTGAATTTGGGGGCGGAGCTATCAAGATAGTGGTGTGATCCTTTTGGGTAGGAGCGTGTTTGTTTTGGTCATTTCAAATATCAACAGCGTTTCTCAGAAATCATTTGCTGCACCTTTAAGTTCAAGACATTTTGACAGAAATATATTACTGCTGTACAGTAGAATGCGCTTGTCAAAGTAAGAATTAATAATAATACATTTATTAAATATTTATTTTTTTAAGGAATAATCACAACATTTTTCTTCCATGTTTTAATTTTAATTGTAATTGTGCAGCACTTTGTTTGGTCAAAAATTGAAGTAATAGTTAAATTTTCATTTGATTACATTTTAAAAGTTAATGTTTCATGCCTTCATTTGATTACCACCATTTTTGATAAAACATTTGTATTAAATCAAGAATCCAGAAAAAAAAATTTAAACAGACACAGCATTTCTAAAAATGCATACATAAATAATTCCACAGGGCCCTATTATTGTAATAAATAAATAATAATAATAAAGTTGTTACAATTTTTAAGATTTATGATTTCAATTAATTAGACATGCTTTTAGATTTCTACAATTTAATTTAACCATTAAAACAGAGTCCAGAATAATTAATACAGGGAGGAAAAAAGAGTCCAGAAATGTATTTACAGAAGTTCCAATGGCATCTAAAAGTACAAATTGCTCTAAGCATATGCTCAATCACTGCCATAATTATGAGAGGATCCTTGGATTTTGCGGAACAGCACTCAAAACTATACCTTGGCAGGGCTCTGTCATCAGAAGAATCTGTCGGCAGTAGTGCTGCAAACACCAAAGATATTGAACAGTGTTGTTGTCTTGTGTGTCTATTTTTTGTAAAATATATTTTATTGAAATAAAGTCGTTCTAACAACATTTGTAAGAAAACAATAAAGCTTAAAACTTAAACCTATAAAAGTTACCAAATGCTCATATAATAATCCCTGATCGAATTATAGTCCTATTTAAGATGTTCATCCCTGTCCCGGACGCTAACCTGTCTTTACTGATTAAGTTGTGGGTCAGTTTGGAGGACACTCGTAACAAAGTGATATTTTTAGTACACTTCACCAAACCCACACAACAAAAGAATCAAAGAATCAGGTAAAACCCAGTAAACCTTGAGATTATTACTTGTGACATTAGAACAAAAAAAATAGATATGAAGACAGTCCCTTAAAAATCATTTCTGATTTCATTAAACATTTTCATATCGTTATGAATTATAATTTTCATTAAATATTCTTAACTTTAATTAAAAAGGTTTATTTCTGCTTTGTAGGCTCATTTAGTAAATGTAAGTAATTTATTTGGACAAGCTCAAACTGAGTGCCGGTCGTGCTTCTTCAGAAGCAGAGTCACAGACAAAGTTTCAAAAAATGCTGTGCACAGCTCCACGAGAAATGGGGTTTTGCGCGCTCAACGTGACGTCAGACTCATTTTTACAAGACATAAGGAAAATAACCTGAAAGACTTATTTATCTTATGTTTATATTTAAAAGAAAGATAAACATTCTTCATTCAGACCCTAACAAACACGTACAGTATGTCATATTATGCTCTGTGCATTGCACATCTCCACAGAATTCATGATTGTGTTCATATATTTCTATTGTAGCGGCTTCATCAGCACACAGTATATTAACATGTGCAGTTATAATCCAGCTACAGTACATATACTGTGTATAACTGTGTGATTTATGTGACAAATAAAAAATGTATAATTGTTTTAGTCTGTTTAGCCTGACTAACATCAAACATGTAAAGTGCATGTGGATGTGATTACTGATGTGTTGTGACACAAGACACAATACTTGACTTTAATAGAGCTGTATATTAAGTGTTCACTGTCATGATAGTCAGCACACAAACACAATGTCTGAACAGAACAGAAACTGTCTGACTCAGATTTACCTTCATATCAACTGAATATGTGCCAATTGCATGTATGTTAAATGAGAATTTTAAGGAAATTATTTAAATTACTCACACGTTAATAAGTTTAGATTTCACAATTTACACTTTACTAATTATTCACTTTAGGATTATATTTACAACACACCACTCTACACAGCCGGCAACTAGAACTAAAATACAAACTGCCATTGCATCTTTTAAAATCATTCCATCAGCTTTCATATGTATTTTATATTTAAATGATCAGGTCTGTCTTCAGCTCAGTTGTTTGGTTCATGTTTTGTGAGTAAATCTAATTGTTTCACAAGCCCTGTTCTGTCTGTGTGTTCAGCAACAGTGACTTTGCCCATGTTTTGGGAGTAAAACAAACCGTTTTGCAAACTGATAAGTCCTGTTCTGTCTGTGTTCAGGCTCTCTAAAGAGGCTCTTCAGCAGCTGGTTTCAGTGGTGTATGAAGCACAGGATGATGAACTGACACGCTGCTTTCTGAAGAAAGTGTCTGAGGATCTGACTTCCTGCTCACTGACCTGGGAAGTCATTCATTACCTGCTGCAACATCAAGCTCTAAATTTGAAGTTGGACTTTAGAAAGAGTAAAACCTCTTGTGAAAACATCAGAGAACTTCTGCCGGTGTTAGACAGAATCCAGCTGAAACGGTAAAAGAATCCCTCAAGAATAGAGCTGTTCAGTTTGTACACAATTTATCATAAAACCTGAAAGAGAATTGCTATTTTTGAGCCACGAGTTCCCAATGGATTTTCAATTCCTTATTAAACCTTATTTTAAGTACATTGAGGTCTGTTGTTAATACTTGAAGATAGTTTCCTATTTTATTTTACAACATAAATTACACACAGTCATGCCTCAAATGTGAGTTTTGAAACCATTGTGTGCTATGCTAACAAGTTGCTACAAGAACTACAACAGTTGTCTGATTTGTCAAGCACATCCTTGTGGTAGTTGTAGTTCTTTTGTAGTTTAGTTAACTGAAACTTAGCCAAGAAAAATATTTAAATTCATTAGAAATTCCCATGACAAAATACATTTACATTTAGTCATTTAGCAGACACTTTTATCCAAAGCGACTTACAAATGAGGACAATAGAAGCAATCAAAACCAACAAAAGGGCAATAATATGTAAGTGCTGTGACAAGTCTCAGTTAGCCTAATGCAGTGGACGTAGCAATGTTTTTTTATATATAATTAATACAAAGAAAACAAGTAGATAGAATAGAAAAAGAATAGGGAACGCTAGTGTTAGAGGGTATTTTTTTAAATAAAAATATTATTTTTCTATTCTTTTGACTTATTTTATTTTTATTTAAAAAAATACCCTCTAACACTAGCGTTCCCTATTCTTTTTCTATTCTTTTGACTTATTTTAGAGAATGCTAGTGTTAGAGAGTCATTTTTTATAATAAATAAAAAGAAAGCAAGAATATAGCAAGAATAGAAATAGAATAGAGAGTGCAAGTGTTAGAGGGTCATGTTTTTTTCTTAGAAATAGAATAGAGAGTGCTAGAGTTAGAGGATCAAATGAAGATGGAAGAGATGTGTTTTTAGCTTTTTTTATGAAGATGTTTAAAGACTCAGCTGCTTGGATTGAGTTGGGCAGATCATTCCACCAGGAGGGAACATTTAATGTAAAAGTCTGTGAAAGTGATTTTGTGCCTTTTTGGGATGGCACTATAATGCACCGTTCACTTCTAGAGGGCACATCAGTCTGAAGCAGTGAATTTAGGTAAAGGGGTGCAGAGCCAGTGGTGGTTCTGTAGGCAAACATTAATGCCTTGAAATAATAAATAATGAAAAATAGTCTTCCAGGTCAGCTTACAAACTGACATCATCACAACAGCTGCATCCACGGAAGTTATTGAAGTTGCTTGTAGTTTTCAGTTTGGGGATTTGTGTTTATTGAGTGCCTTTAATTCAAGTAGATTTCATCTAGTGATCATCTTCTCCACAGGTTGAGCCCCAGCTTTACTCTGTCCATCATTATGGAGATTTATGAAACTCGCTTTCCTCAGTATGTGTCCAGTCTGATGAGTTCAGCAGGAAATGACATCAACCTGAATGCCAGAGTGTTGGACTCTGTTCACTGCGCTGCCCTGCGCTTCACTCTAGAGCACTGCAACACTGTCAAACTCAATCTGCTCTGGACCTCCATACCAGAGGAGCAGCTAGAGAGCTTTCTGCCTTTACTCAGCAGAGTCAAACAACTCAGGTTTACTGATATAACAGCACTGATATCATATTAAACATGACTGTTCTGTTGTGTATGTTTGTTAACAGTATCTGTGTGTGTTAGTGTTGACAGGCTGCTGTTGCTGAAGCTGCTTCATTGCTGCAGTTCCTCTGATCTCCAGCAGGAGGCCGCAGATGTTCTTCTCGCTGCTCTTCACAACACGCTGGACTTCTCCTGCTGCTCTGCTCTGGATTTAACAGACACACAGGAAAACCAAGAGCATTTGAAACTAACTGAAAAAGACTGTAGAATAATCTCATCCGTGCTTCAGAAAACTCAAAGCATTGTGAAGTTGATCTTACAGGACTGTGAGCTCTCCGATACGGCCCTGAAACAACTTTGGCCAATCCTGCCTCAAGTGCAGCTGAAGTAAGACATCTGACAGATCCCCTTTATTGCTACTATGATAGTGCATTAATGTATCTCCATATGACATCCCTGTATATTATTCTCACATTCATGTTTGTCGTTGTGTTCTTCTTCCTCTCATCAGCTGTAGTAAAGCTCTGCTGCTGCAGTTTCTGGCTTGTATTAGTAAAGATGGATCTCAGAGAGGCTCTTTGAGGAGCGCTGAGGCTCTTTCACAGGCTTTGGGAGGAGAGATGGACCTCAGTCACACTCAGATGGACCCGAGAGTTTGTGAACAACTGGCGCTGTTTCTGGAATATTCTGAAGGACTGACAGAACTGGATCTCAGTCACTGCAAACTCACTGATCTCTGCATGGAGCCGCTGCTGCCACATCTGCACAAAACCCAGACTCTGGAGTGAGTTACAGAGACATATGAGGAATAGAGAAATATAAAACACAGTATTCAAAGTTCTGCTTATTTCTGTTATTTTTAATCTTTTCATCTCATGTCTTCTTATAGTCTGAGTCACAATAATATCACAGATGAATCAGCAAAGAGAGTCCACAGTGTCGTCTGCACTCACAGCAATATTCAGACTGTACGGTAAGTGTGTGTGATCTGTGTTTTATTAGTGTTTGTTAACCTTCTGTTGGCTCAAGTCATTTATAAACTAAATGGAGTAAAAGCAAGCAGTTTTATTTTTAGTAAACAAAACATTGACAAATTATTTTTGTCAAGTTAATAGTCATATCGGTCTGTTTTATCCAGTCCAAGTCTGTTATTTATAATGTGATTTGTTTGTTTGATCTGTTTGATATAGTTTTTAAATACCACAATTCAGTGTTTTGATTAAACAGACATTTTGTATAATAATTCAACATTTAGAATTTTAAATGTGTGTGTCATGCATTAATGACAGTGGTCCATCATGAAATACATATTTAGGTGATGATTAATATACAAATATTAAAGTATTTTGTTCTAATCCTAGAGGAAAGTACAGTAAAGCAGATGTGTGAGAGTACTATGGTGTTTTTCTCAGGAGAAACATATTAGAAGCAAAAGTCTTTATTTGCTCTCCTTTGCTATTTCTGAACCTATATTAATGAATTAACAATAAAGTGTGATTGGCAATAAACAGAGCAATCAACAGAAAACAAACATAAAAAAAGTTCATTTAAAAAACATTTACACTTTACATGAGACCTACATACAGTCAAACCAAAAATTATTCAGACACCAGATATAATTTTTTATATTTTTTTACTAGTGCGTGCAGGACATTATAGTTCATTTATGTAAGTGAGGATAGCCAAATAAACTAAACTGTGACATTATACCCAAAAATATGTCTTCATACAGTGTACTTCATACAGTGGATAAGACACTTTGACCTGACCATGTTTTGCTTTAGTGTTATCTGACATTATCAAGATGAATTTGTTCTGACACAGTCATATTTTATTACCATTTTCTAAACTATAGCGAATAAACTGATAATGTGAGAAATGTTGAAGGTGTCTGAATACATTTTGGTTTGACTGTATGAAATCAGTCTTTGAGAAATATCCTTTTGTCATGAATAAAGGTGAAAAAAAAAATTGTTTATCAAAAACTGAAGATGTAGTGGAACTAGAAAACACATCAATTGATTTTTTTTTGTAGTGTGGTACATAGAGGTTTAATTTCATTATTTAATTTCATTTTTTGCAGACTTTTTAGAAACAAAATCAGTGACAGAAAGCAGTTCATCGGAGACAAGAGATTTGAAATATGGTGAAAATCCTGGACTGGTTTATTTGTCAAGGATGGTTTGTAAAGAGCTGGAAACATTTTAGAATCACTTAGTACTAAACAAAAGAACTGAATACTTTTAGATTTAGTAGATTACTGTTATGGTTTTGCATTTAATTTCTTTGTCATTAATGCAGTTTTATTGTTCTTGAATCATCCAGTATGGATTTAAATGAGATGTTCATTTACAGAGCTCTAATAACAAATTCTATATCTGAAGAAATACTGTCTATATGACATTAAATGAAGATACGATGTGCTGGAGAAAGCCATATGAGGATCTGTGTGAATAGGAATGACATTCACTAGCAGTGCATCTCTAATGTAATCACACATGGTGGCACCCTCCCTTTATTTTTTACTTTTATTGATTTTAACGTCATAAACCAGTGTGTACAGAGGCATTAGAATGAGAGTAACATGCTGAAAATTTAAGAAGGGCGCACATGCACAAATGTACATTTACCTGTATTCATTACTATGTATATAAATGTAAGTAAATCAATTATTAGTATTTTATCTGTACAAGACTGCATTCCCATTACTCATGTATTATTTTCATACATAATAACATATGTAAAGAAACTTAATTCTTTGTTACCTTTATCTTCTTAATGTAGTTTCATACATGAATTTGTATGATTATTGCATGACACCCATGACTGCTTTTAATATAAATCTATGAAATAATGTCTCTGTGAGGCAGGGTTCCTCAATAGGCGGCCCGCGGGCCACATCCGGCCCCTGAGAGAAAAAAGTTTGACATGGAAAATAGATTATTCAAATGAGAATGGAATGAACAGTTCTGAGTGAGCGACTGATATCTTTGTTATGGAATACACGTGTTGGTTCGCAGTGAGGTCCCAGTTTTAACGTACAAGTTTGCTTTAATTTATTAAAGATCTGAGGTAAAATATCTATTGGTGCTTTCACTATATGTAACGGCCAAAACTATGTTTTTGCATGCATCACATTATAGTGTGGTGTGCCCTTTAAGAGACTGATCACTTAACTTATAACGCGCTATGTGGTGATGAGGTAGAAGGACTAGGTGACTGTGTAATGAGAACCACTATGGATGATAAATTCGCTCTGCCTTCTTGTTATTACTTTGTCTTTACTTTTATTTGTAACGCCAAGAAAGAGTTAATCTCTAATGTATGAGAGGAGCGCGTTGCCGTGTCCCAGCCATTAAATGTGTGGAACCCCAACTCTTCGTTGTCCATCTCTTTCATTTCATGGGTTTAACGAGTTATCCGAGTCAAAGCGTTACATATGGCTATAAAGATAACGCAAAATAATATTCAAACTCACATTAGACACTTTTAACATTGAATAAAGCACATAATCATTACCTGAGATTATCGCTGTCATATTTTGTATGTTGTTCCTGTCAGTTCCTAAAATAGAATCCCATGTCGCTTATTGTCACGTGTCGCTCTCGCGGGTGGTTAGAACAAAAACTACATGGAAAAGATACTTTTTATCGCGTCGTGTCTGGTTGGGACACACGGTGTTACAGTTTGATCCTCCCAAAAAATGTAGGTATAAAAATATTAATACTGACAAATCTAATAATTGAATCTGCAATTAGGGAAAGTGGAGAGAAGAGATCCAGTCTGGGAATGAGCAGGAACAGTTGATTTGCATGGCAGACATGGAGATCTTTTTTGTTTTTGTTTGTTCATTTGTTTTTAATATTCAACATGCAAAGTTCTTCTGTATCTAAATGCAAAAATGTTCATATTCGTTTCAATAAAACAGACTACTGGGGAAAAAGTCTGAATATTCATTCATCTTGTGATTATTTTAACAAAAGCAACAATAATATAATAATTGTAATAATAATAACAATTATACATACATACATATATAAGTCAGTGGCCCTTGGCTTGGTATTGTTGGCAGAATTCGGCCCTCGGCGAAAACTAATTGAGGAACCCTGGTCTAGTTTCTTCAGTAAAAGTCTGTATGCTTTTTAACACCACAAAAATGATAACGATATATTTGTATCGATACATTTATTAAATGATAGATTATCTGTCTGTCTGTCTGAAAGATAAATGTCTATCTATCTGTCTGTCTGTCACTTTGTCACTCTATTGCTCTCTGTCTGTCTCTTATATAGGTGAACAGATGTGTAGATCGATAATTATATCTGATTATTTGTCGATTTATGTACCAGACAGATAGATAAATGGACAAGTAGATGGATAGACACATAGATAGACATATAAACTGATCGATAGAATCTGCCTCCTAGGCAGAACAACAGAAGTCAGGCAGTATTCAGCAGGCAGTGTCTGGTGTTTTGAATGTATTGTCCATTCATGCAAGTAAGAGTAGTGCAGGCATCATGAAAGAGAGACACATGAAATAATAATAATAATAATAATAATAATACATTTTATATGTAATGCTCCTTTCTTAATACTCAAAGCGCTACATGTACAAACAAAATAACAAGTCAACCAAAACTCGCGTAGCTGAGTATATTTATATATATATATACTCAGCTATGCGAGTTTTGTCTTATACATCCTCACGCCATCACATTACCCCAGTACTCCAGCAACTTCATTGGCTCCAGGTTCAATCACGTATATAATATATATATATATATATATATATATATATACCGGTATATTTACACTAATTTCCTGTATACTTTTCAGTTCATCACATCAGAATACTAAAGAAAATGCAAGCCATGTATTTGATACAGCATGATCATTGTAGAATGTGTCGAGCTGCTGGATTCAGTGCAGCAGGATGAAGGAGAGCAGAGAACAGCAGAGGAACAGGAAGCTCTGAGTGACACTCTGAGCACCGTCAGGACTCTGGGTGATGCTCTGGATGTTGATCTGGGTGACACTCTGGTTGACACTAACACTGTTACACAGGTTCGCCACACAACATGTGATGCCCTGACCACTAGGAAGCAATGCTGAGGCATCACAAGCCTCTTTAGAGATACAGCCTTTTGCAGCAAATGACTGGCTTCCAAAATTCACTGAAAAGAAAGAAAAGAGTTAGGAGTGAAAGCTGAAGTGACATCAAATAATTGTGTAAGCTGCTCACTGGCATATGTGAACTCTATCAAATGCTCAAAATAAGACCCACAAATGATGAGGAGGCACAAATAATGACTTCAACCTTCTTCCTTCAGCAGATTCTCACCTGTTGCTGTAAAGCAGTGGTCTTCACTCCCTGAACAGTCCCTTATGTTTGAGCAGCTCTGCATATCGCAGTAGAAACATTTCTTTCCATTGGGAACATCATTGGGGATATCAAGATTGGTAGAACTGGAATCTACAGAAGGATCTGTACAAAATATAACTTCTAATGAAGCAACACTAACTGCTCCATTCAATCAATTTCTACAATTATGAATTGAATGTCCTATGGATGTAAAATCAGTGTTGAAGATAGTCATTTGCACATGTTCAGGAAAGTACAATACCTGGAGCATCTTGGGCGTTACAAAGGTCCGTGTCACAGCAGAAAAAAGACATATTTGGAATGCGGATGTTTGTGTAACCACTACAGGCATATGGAAGACAACTTTTAACCTTCACTTTTGTGGTGGTGTCTCCTAAAAAACATCAATTATACAGGAATGACAACTGCTCATCATTTTAATGGTGAATTTATTTATAAATATGTCAAAAAAAAAAAAATATATATATATATATTGTATATATATATATATATATATATATATATATATATATATATATATAGAGGTCGGTGGCCCTTGGCTTGGTATTGTTGGGTGTTTGTTTGGGTGCAACAAAGCAGTGTGTCAATAGCAGTCCTGAAGAGTCTTAAACTTTTACACTTACACAATGTTAATACAAGTAACATTTTAACAGCCTAGATGGACCTGTATGTTCACCCAGAAAGTGTTGATTATAGTGTTTTATCTTAATGTTCTGCCTTGCATTGTCTTTTGTTTTCCACTGAAGATAAAAGTAGTTTGGAACAAAATAAAAGAGTGTATATGACAAGTGTCAGTTTTGGATATGAACACTTAGACCTACCTCCCCGTTCACATCTGTCATATGAGTTTTACATTGTTTGGTAAAGCAAAGTAAATTTACTTGACAGCAGAATTTGTGCTTTTAAAATCTTGTGGTTGATTCATAGACTTTTAACTTTTAACTGGTCTGGGATGCAGGATTGACTGTAAACATCAAAGGAAATTGACTGTAATATTAGATTTTTTTCTTCTTATTACCTTAATAACTCTACCAAGTGCTCTGCCTTGGTTTGTCTGTGTCGTTCTGTACACAGCCAGACCGCTAGGTTTCTAGGAGTCAAAGATAAGCACAAGACGTATGATGCTTTGCTACATCAATGATTAAAAATTTTGGGAATATGGGAAATATGTAATCAAAGGTTTTGGATGGAATATACAGTATATTAGAATGTTGAAGAATATGGAATAGATCAATTTAAATTTATTTCAGGGAATATCATAAGCATAATTCCACCATGGATATTCCCAGAACCTAAGGTTAACTTACATATAATTGAAAGAAAAAGGAATGGTTAGAGAATGGTAATTACAATATTGTTGTGTTCAGCATGTTTTAAGTGTGTGCATATGTGTGAGAAGTGTGCATGAGACCAAGAGAAAATAAAAAAAGAAGCATCATCCATTCAAGTTCCTGTGCTTAAGAACTCCAGTTCTTAAGCATTCAATCAGTTTAAACATAACATTGGTGACAAGGATGGCTGAGTTTAGCTTACTGCCTCCAGCACCTTTTCTTCCTGTGCCTGTTGAACCGTGGGCGAGTTGGTTTGATGGTTTCACAGTATATCTCGAGGCCATGGACTACATTGACATTCCTGACTGACTGCATCACCACTGTCTTGGGCTGGAGGGACAGAGAATATATTGTGCTCATAGGGGCATGGCCCATGCCATAACTACTGAGAATGGGCCCCAGTTCATTTCTGCTGAATTCTCACCTTCGTCAGCAATAAGGCAATTAAGCATATTTGTGCCGCACTCTACTATCCGCAGCGGAACGATGGGGTTGAAAGGTTTAATCAGAGCCTTAAGAATGGGATTCAGGCGCATCTGGTCCAGGAGTACTAATTTCAAATGGCACAGGACTTGTTGGCAACAGCAGTAGCTGGCCCCCAAGCAGCTGCCAAAGTGGTTGTCAAACTACAAACCAGGTAAGAATGAAAGATAACGTTATGAGACACAAAGTCAGGCATATTAACATTAAGGTACTGGACTGGGTGCGAGTCTGTAGACCTCAGCATAGCAGCAAAATGACATTGTTTTTGTCTGAACCTCACTAAGTGGTTCATCAGCTACGGTCCACCACATTCCTGATAAACGTCAGCTCATGCTAGTAAATTGCGGAAAGTGCCGATCCCTCTCGGCCCAATGAAGGGTCCATGGGCAACAGAGCCCAACGTAGGAGCAGCACAGGGAATACGTTCCCCAGTCCCATGACCGGAACCAGTACAGCTATGGCCAGACCAGGCACCTCAAGGTTTCCCGCATCATGGGACACCCACAACAGCCTAGACCTGACCCACCACCACTCCTGCCAGCATCTGGCCCTCATCCTCCTCAGCCATTGCTTGATGTTACCCAGGATGGCCAGGAAGTGCCCCAGCAGGCAACATTGGGAGGTAGATAGACACAGACCTTCATGCATAGGAGTATAGATGTTTTTC